CTGTTCCACCCTCTGACTGCTGCAGGGGCGTGTCTTAGAGAGAGGCTTTTATACCAGAACACAGCCGCTGTGACGAAACCGTGGAGAAGACACGTCACCGTGAAGAGCTGTTAACCAATATGTAAATTAGCCTGCAGTACCACTGCTCTACCCATATGAGCAGCAAAAACACGTTTTTAGACCAAATATTACAAATTTGAACAAATACGCACAAAAACATCAAAAATAGCACAGAAACAGTACTATATAACATTTTAGACACACTCTAGACAGTTTATCAGCTAAAAAAGTTAATTTTGGGGTAAGTTGCTCTTTAAACAAACAGAAGTGTTTGACAATCAGGAAATGAGAATAGGTCATTTTTATTTTCCCAGGCTCTAGTGAGCTCAAAGAACTTGTAGGTTTTTTGCTCACTTGCAGAGGTGGACGCAACGGTGTTTTATTTCTGTCCTCACTCAAAGGTTTCCACTCACACCCCTGCTTTTGCCTTGGCCTTTAGCTGCAGGCATCTCTGGGTTTGTGGCTAACAGGTCAACGTGCTAAAGCTAAAGATCATCATGATCTTCCTCCAGAGTAACACGTGCTGCAAGACATTCCAGCAGCCAGGCCCCTTAACCCCAAAATGCTGCTCTTCTCCACTTTTCTCTCCTGCACTGAGAATTTTTAGACAAGAGATTTTTTTTCCTCCCTGCACCTCAGTTTCATCACTTTTTCTTTATTTTTTTTTTAATTCAAATACATTTAAGTAATGGAGTTCTACTCAGAGCTGGGGGTGATGTGATGCTCTCTACCTGATTCAAACCTGATGCAACGTTTGCCTTCTTTTATCTTTTAGGCCCAATGTGATATGGAATGGTGTGTACAACGTTGAGTGTCACATTTCACATTGTTTTTATTTTTTGTTGTTCATTTCACAAGCAAAAGAAAAACTTTAGTACTTTCTGTGAGTTATAAAGATTTACAACTCTGAAAGACTCCTAAAACAACATTAATAGTAGAGTGAACAGCACTGGCCTGTTGTAGATGCTCCTTGTATTCATATTCATCTTTACTGGATTGAATTTGGACCGCATCGAACACAGCTCTGAACAGTGAGCAGTAAAAATGTTTCGCCCGTGGCCACAATCAGAGGTGCTATGACCTGCATACACGTTCAGTAGTCTGAACACAACCCATCCTGATCTTTGATGCAAGACCTACTGAACTGATGTGGCCCCAAACAGACAGCAAAGTTATTACCTGGATTTCTCAGAGGAAAAAACAATAAATAAAATAAAGGTCAGCTCTGCTGGCTGATTAAAGATGACTAAACTGTCCTTGTGACTGTTCTGAAGATGTAACCTAAAACTGTTGTCTTGTCATTGCACAGGTGAGTTTCTCTTTGGTTTCTGTTTTGAGAACTGATTGGACCTGCTGAGGTCACTACATGCAATAATGTGCTGAGTCAATCATATGACCGAGCAGAGTCATGTCGCGTTATATTCACCTAATTAAACATAGCACAGTTGTCACATTGACAGTGGAGCCGTGTAAAACAGAAACAGCTGACAGCTATCGGTGCAATGTGGGAATGTACAGGTTAATATTTTCCATCTTTGCTCCGACGGATATTTAAGCTTTAGAGACAAATCAACAAAAATGCAACTTGAATGGCTCGAATGGAAATGTACAGATGTCTGATAGCATGTACACTGATCTGTCTGCTCAGGCTGCGTACATACAGGGGCTAGACAATGAAACTGAAACAGCTGTCATTTTAGTGTGGGAGGTTTCATGGCTAAATTGGACCAACCTGGTGGCCAATCTTCATTAATTGCACATTGCACCAGTAAGAGCAGAATGATAAGGTTCAATTAGCAGAGTAAGAGCACAGTTTTGCTCAAAATATTTCAATGCACACAACATTATGCGTGACACACCAGAGTTCAAAAGAGGACAGATTGTTGGTGCACGTCTTGCTGGTGCATCTGTGACCAAGACAGCAAGTCTTTGTGATGTATCAAGAACCACGGTATCCAGGGTAATGTCAGCATACCACTAAGAAGGACGAACCACATCCAGTAGGATTAACTGTGGACGCAAGAGGAAGCTGTCTGAAAGGGATGTTGTGGTCTAAAACCAGTTGTTTCAGTTTCATTGTCTAAGCCCTCTATCTGCATCCAGAACAGGTAACTGACATTTGATCACAACGTTTCAATCTCTTAATCACAGATGACTACTTAGAGTCAGTCAAAGGATGTTTAATGCCAGCTCTGAACAGCCTCAAAGATCACAAGGTGGCTCCTGTAAAACAACCAAAATGTGACCCAATCACAAAATGTACATGACCTTTGTGAACTGTTGTAAATCTTTTCCAATAATAAGTGGAAAAAAATGATTTCTCCATCATATGATCAAAAGAACTGAGAATCTTTTCTGTGCAAGTTTTCCATCACAGCTGATTTAGATATTATCAGTCCATAAATGGACGTTATCAGCGGTTATCAGTCCCATAGAATGGCTTCAGACTGTCCCAACTATGCCCCCTAGCAGGTTATCAGTCCCATAGAATGGCTTCAGACTGTGTACCTACTAATACATTGGAAGGCAACAGTCTGCCAGACTCCAGTCTAGTTTAACCTAGCCCAGGTCTTTTTCTCTAAAATTTACCTTAGTGTCTTTATGCCTCATACTAACCAGCTGACACTCTGAAGCCATTCTAAGGGACTGATAACCCGCTAGGGGGCACAGTTGGGACAGTCTGAAGCCATTCTATGGGACTGATAACTGCTGATAACATCCATTTAATGGACTGATAAAATCCTAAGCGGGTGTCAATAGACTGAAAAGGATTTTGATGGTTGTGTTTGTTTGGGATAAAATCCCCAAATTGTGCAGAACATTCAGGTACCTAAAGTGTCCACATCTCAACATCTCTCACTATTTAGTTCTTGTTGACAGCTACAAACAGAACAAGCAATCAAAGAGAGAACACATGCACATTCATAGGTCTAAACAAAGTTTTGTGGGTTACTGTGACTAAATAGAGACATAATTATCATGACCAAGCTTGTAAGTGGAGTTAGTTTTTCAGATTCACTATTTTCTCTCCTCAAACTTCTTATTTTATTACATTTTGTCAAATGTCACCAGGGCATTTCTGCTCAGATTGGTTGCTCCTAAGAAAGGACACAGAAATGTGATTTTTCAATCACCCTCTTACCATGCAGCCCAGGGTGCTAAATAAACATGACTTTCTTCTCATGTTAGATTGCTTTAATTTATTTTATTGAATGATTTGGAGTGATTTATAATTACTTTTCCCTCTGAGACGGGTCATGAGTTTTCCACAAATAGAATTTACCAATTTAAAAACTATTTATATTTTATTACAATTGTGACATTATTTATTAGGTTGCATAGGCTGCTGTTCATTGAATAGGATCAAGTTAAATATTTAGAGTCCTGAAGTATTCACTCTACATTAACTGTGATCAAGCGTTCCCATTGGATTTAATGTGAACCTCTTTAGATACAAATATAAAAGGCAAGCAGCCGGCCACAAAGAGACAGTTTGTTTCCATTTCTTTAGTTGAGAAATACCAACAAAAACAGTTTGACTGGGAGTAAATATTATTTTATCTCCAACAAGGTGATCCCCAACGAGCTGTTAGCTGAGAACTTGACACAAGGTAGATAATCAACTGAAGGATGATGCATTGCTCAGATCCTGTCGACATTTTACCATTTTGTTCTCCTATTTTTCAAAAGCATGAGTTTCAGATACTTTTTATCTGCTGAAGATTGTGTTTGTTTTATTTTATTTATTTTTTGACATATCTTTCATTTTCCACTTGTCCAGTTACTTGAAGCACAAACCGCACAATAAGCTGTCATGTTCAGGTAAAAGGACTGAGCAGAAAATAACTAAAGTCACAGGAAAAACTTTTATTTTTGGATGCCTGGTAAACAAATCAAGGGCACTTTAAAACATTACAGGTTTTGGCTGTTTTGAAGCAAAACATTAAACATAAAAGAGAGCGAGAAATGGTTGAAAATTTTTGCACAAAACTGTAAGGTTTATTCTGTTCTGTAAAACAATAATTATTTAGTATTAAGTGCATATTTCATGATCAATTAATTACTATTTTTTCAAAGTTGCATCCAATTTTAAAGGGGTCAGCATCTGGTGGACCGAGGTCCAGATCCTGTCTGGACTCAAATCTGTTGGTAAATATAAGTAGGATTTATTTTAAATTATATATATACTGTATATATATATATACTGTATATATA